AAATAGTATCTGGCAAAGTGGTTGTGATGCAGCACCAGGCAAGCTGCTGGTAGCTACAGTTGATTCAGGGCAGGCAATTTAGGAAAGACAAAAGGCAGCATCCATCTCTGTATATAGCCCTTTGTCTGATGGGTAACTGCAGTCTAGGTATTTCATTTGTTACTGCATAGAAGCTGAGAAACAGTATGGCCCAAAGAAGAGATGTTTGTCAAGCTTTCTTCATAGTCATGTGAGGGAAAACAAATGGTTATAAGCTAATTAGGAATGAGTTAAACTACAAATTGCATTGATTTAGAGATAAGTGTGCATGTATGTGTGCACGTACAATTTTCCTGAAAAGAATATTATCTTAAAATATCTCTGGAAAGCAAAAGAGGTACTTTTATTTTTCCCATCTCATCTTCTTTTTTATTTTTTAAATGCTGTTCATTAAAAAAAAAAAAAAAAAAAAAGATAAAAAGATGAGCTAAAACTTAGCTGAACAAAGTGGCTTTATTGCAGTGTGATTTGGCCTGTTTGCTTTTAGAAATTGGAGGGGTAGAACTGTGCTGGGATTACTTTACACTGCCTTTGAAGTTCATCCTGGATCAAGAACTAGTTTACTTTTGTTTTATCTTAGTTTGGAACGTAGCTTAGAACAATGTTTGCAGCTTGGAAATTCTGCTGTTTAAAAACAACAGCAATGAAAAGAACTTGGAGGTCAAACAAAGCTGAAGTCTAATATTAGATGGATGATTTTATAAGTGTTTATTAGAAAGTGTCCTGAGTGTGGATGGCGTAGACTGGGTTTTGGCTTTCAGCCATGGAGCTGGGGGCTGCTGTGAGGCTGAGAGGAGGTTTGCTGCCAGGGCTGTGGGGATGATTGGCCTCAGCAGGTGCCTGGTCATGAAATGTCTATCCTGCTTGCCTCCCTACCTCAAAATGAGCTTCCCAAAGAATACGGAGATGGAGCTCAGTTGGAGCAAATACTGGCAGTTTCATAGTTTTAGAAGTATTCTATGTAACATCAAAAACAAAACTAAACTTTTTTTTATCCTTAATTCATACTTGATTTTAAAAAATTTAAAAGCTTATATTGTAAATGCAGAATTAAAAACAGATCCATACAGGATTGGAAAAATGTTTGTGCTGCTTAGAAATTAGTTTGACTTGCAGATAGTGTGTCTTACAATTTTAATGCCATACTCTTCTGTACATACACCTTGTTGCATTGCTTCCGTTTGTTGTTTAGGCACATTTAAACAAGCATACATTTTAATGATATCCTTTTCTCATGCTAGGATTTCTGCATTAGTTTTTGGCTTTTTGCCCATCAGTCTATTGGTATTTTGGTCTTTAAGCATATGTAACACTGTAGTTCACCTCTGACTGATGCAGGCTCATCTTACTAACTTCATAGCTAAAGTTAAACGTGCAGTATAAGACCAAACCACTTATACAAGACAAGTGCTGTGTAAAAGTAGATATGATTTATGAATAACACTCCAGGTTTTCTTATACACTGGCACCTACGTTTTTATTTTATTTTTTTTTAGAACTTCAATATTGGTTGGATTTTTTTAAGTTCTGAGTTTAAAAACAGAAATAATTGGAGTTAACGGTGAGGAATATGTGGGGAATCTTTGATTTATTTTTGGTTCGAATACTTATACAGTAATATGTACACAATGCTCAATATGTACATGAACTTACTGTTTGTAATGGTAATGTGCTGCTAGAGAAACAAAGAGATGTCAAAACTGAGGTTACTGGAAGTAAAAATACATCTGCAGTCCATAATTCTTTCAGTGTTTGAATTCCTATTGATGTATTCAGTGTAGATGTTTATTTTTATTTATGTATCTGTTGATGCTCTGTATGCTCTGAGTATATTGCTCTTTGCAGTATCTGTGGCAAAGCTTGCTCTGTAGGTTCAGTGTGAGATGGACAGATGCTTGATGAACCGGGGATGCTGGTGGGCACTGCCAGAGCAGAGTCATGCTGAGCTGAGATTTCCTAGAAGTACCAACCTCTCCTCTCATTAGTCAGATCTCTGATCCCAAATCAGTGAGTGCTACTTAGAAGTTTTATCCGCTCTATCTAGATAAGGAGATTAGTGCGTGGTTCAGCCGTTAACAGTCCAGTAATTTCTTAATTCAGTCGTGTCTGTGATCCTTTCATCTCTAAGGCAGGTTCAATTCCTTGCCTGGCCAGCAGGTCTCATGGACACAGGCAGAAGCTCACCTTGCTTTCTGGGACGTGCTGCTTTCTTCTCAAGATGTACTTCCCAGTGACATTTTTAATGAATTTTTGCCCAGGACTCACTTCTGAAAAATAATTTTGCAGCTCCCTCTTAATACATACAGAGAGTTTCATTACCAGAAGACAAATATTTAAGAGTGACCTCTTCAAATGTCACTCTGACTCTGGTTTGTGATATATTGGCATTGTAATTAGACAAAAAAGTGCTCTTTCTGTTTTACTTTACACTTCTCCAGAACATAAGCACACCTCCCCAATGAAAATATTCACTTTGAAGCCTGCTTTTTGCTGCTTAAGTGCGTTTAGGTTGCTCTTTTCATCACCAATTACTTCATATGTGGATTATGCCCATTTGCGTATATTCTGAGAAAGCTGGATTTTATTAACTTCAGCAGTCCAGCTACAAGGCATGGTGATCCTTCTGACCTTTAGCTTTTAATGTCCTGACGTTCCATTCCCTTTTGCAGACGTTGCTGACAAATGTCAGCCTGCTGTAATGTAGCGATTTAGAGAACTGTTTACTGTGGTTTCCCCCCCGCCAAGATTTAAGGATCTTCTCTATAAATAGCTATGTTGGTCATAGCTTTCTGCGTGCTAATGGGGTTCCCTGAACTGGGTTTTATCATAATTGGGTCTCTTCACTGAAAGCTGGGTCTGAACACCAATTTTTTTGGAGAAATTCTGACTTTGTTGTTGAAGCCTTTTGGAAATTGTTTCACCACAGAAACTTTAATTCTGGTTAATGTAGCAAGTCCAGAAACTTTCAAAAATCAGAGCATCATTTTTTTCCTGTTTTCTCCTTGTCTTGCTTGCATGAAACTTGCTCTGCTGCCTTCCATTTGTTAGCACACTTCAGTTTCATCTCTGGGTAAAATAATTGTGTTGACCTGTCATGGTGAGGGACAAACTGCTCTTTTGAACCTTAAGAGATTACAAGTCTTCCTACTTCTCCTGCTTCCCCTTTCACAAAGATAACACATTTCACAAAACTAACACCAAACTGGAAGATTTATCAGGTTTTGTTTGAGTTTTTGGCTAATGTTTTGAATCGCTGATGATTGCTACTTCAAATGTCTGTGTGATAGAGACTGATGTGAGAAAGTGTGAGCTGGTGACCCACCAAGTGTAAAAGCTTCTGCTTTCAGTGAATGTTGTCAAATTTAGTTGTTTTGGGGGCTTTTGCATTTGCCTTGTAGCATTACACAAAAGTGTTTGTCTTCAGATACTGTCAGACATACATCCCAGTTGTAGTGCATCATCCCTGGGATTTTAGAAAAGCCATAACCACATCTGATAGGCTGATGGCGTACTTTCCACAGGTTGATGAAGAGGTGACATTCTTTCTTGTGTCACTGTTTGTATACAAATACAAAAAGTGAGTCTCTCATATTCATATTGTACCCCCTTGCCATGGACTGATTTCAAGATCTAGCCTCATTTCTCTTGTTGGAAAAGTAAATGAGAGGTAGATTAGTGATTTGTCATTGTTGAAAGGAGTAACCTCCTGGTAACTGCTGGATGCAGTAAAGAAGAGGCTGCAGGCAACTCAGATGAAGGCCTTCATTCTGCTTTCCCATGGGCAGCTGCTTGATTTACATCAATTGGAGTTCTCTTTGGGCCACGGTTTTGGAAATGAAGACAAAGTAATTGTGTTGCCTGCAGTACCTCCCTAAAAGTAGTGATAGTGATTTCTTCAAGAAACTGACTCATGCTTGCGTGCAAAGTAGACGTGGGGTTTTACATACACAGCCAAACAGTAACAGCCTGTCTGCTGTAAGAGAGGAAATACGAGTACAAAGAGGGAATTTGCACCATATAGGACTGTTCTCAATAGCTAGCTACGAAGTGCTCAACAGATTGAGGACCATGAGTTAAATCAATATGTAAATCTTACCATGGATTGCTTTTTGTGTGTGTGTGTGTGTGTGTGTGTCCTTGGGAATAAAGCTGGTGGCATCAGATGAAAAGATTAATTTATTGTTCAGTCAGTGTCAGTAATGTGATCTTTACAAAAGCTTTTGTTGTTGGAGTGCGCCATTAAAGTGGACCAAAGGCAGCTGAGCTGAACTTCAGCAGTGACCTTGATCAAAGAGTCAGACTTTTCAAGAAGCCTTTCTTATTCTGTTTTGAGTATACTGTGGGTCACTGCAGCTATAAACCAAGAATGAGTCAAAACAAAATTCTGTAACTGGCCTGTCTGTAATGTTGAACTTTTGACTTTTTTGTAGTTGCAGCTGGGGGGAAAGATAGTTTCACCGTTAATAAAGGCTTTCATACATATAACCAACTACTGACAAATACATAAACTTTGAGGGAATGGATTAGATTGAAAAGCTAGAATTGAAAAACCTGACTTACAGCCTTTCTTTCTTTCACCCATGAGAGAAATCTCAGATGTGAAGAGATAATAGACTGAAGCTTGCAACCAGGAAATTTTATGTGCCTATCCCTGCTTGCATTTCTTGGTGAATGTGCATAGCTGTAAGCCAATCAATGAGGAATTTGGTTTTGAAAAATAGATAATGGTATGCAGTGCTTTTCTTGTCATTAATATGAAATAAAAACATGAATTTATAAATAATGCTTCACCAAAAAGATTGTGTATACACAGTGTATCCACAAAAACATGCTCATAAAGAAGAAACTCAAACTTTTTCCATTTTTATGAGCAAAACATTGTATAAATTATTTTCCTTTGTTCAGAGAATATAAGCATAAGGTATTTAAGTCTCTCGTTTGCCTTTTTTGTGGCATTTCAGCTTAACGACGGTGGAAAAGCAGCCCGAGCACACGTGGGGATTGGTGACGTGGTTCTCACCATTGATGGGATAAGTACAGACGGGATGACTCATCTTGAAGCACAAAACAAGATCAAGGCGTGTACAGGCAATCTGAACATGACTTTGCAAAGGTAAGGGAGATTTTTCTTTTTTTTTTTTTAAAGGAGAATTAATCATTATCATAGCAGATGTTTGGAGGCTAAAAGCATGTAAATAGTTGGGCAAGGTGCTTGGAGTTAAGTGGCTGCCATTTGAAGATACACTACTGTAACCTGAAATGTCTTGATTTATAGCATTTCAGAAAACATATTAGTTGTTAATTACTTGAGTAGGCAGAGATCTCTGCCAGCCTTATGTCACCTCTTCCACATTGTATGATGTCTAGCTCCTCCTTGAACTTCGGTTTTGTTAACAGTTTTTAATTAAAAATAGACCTGACCAGCCTTTCTTCTCTTTCTTCTAAATGACTGAGAGTACTTCTTTTTGTGTCAGGTCCTATGTTATTTTTATTTCTAAACCTCCACCTACTCCATTACATATTGCTAGAAGTTTAAAAAATAAGCTGAATGACACTGTGGAAGAAGTCAACAGCAGCTAACATGGCAGAACAGGCCTTTCAGAGGCCAGCAATACTTTTGGTTGAAGTGTATTGTGACGAAAGTTTCTTGAAAAAATTGCAATGAGATTGCATTTCTTCAAATGATGACTATTTGCTAGCACTTGTTTAAAACAACTTTTTTTTAATAAAGTATTTTAGAACCTACTACTAAGGGGAATCTTAGAAGGCATAAGAACACTATTAGTAGAAGATCTGAACCTGTTTTTGGTTAATAAGTTGATGCTGCGAGTAAATCATTAGAAAATGTGAGAAGTTAAAGTATAAAAAGCAGTAATATAGAGCAATGTAAAATACCCCTTGTTCCACAAAGCCAAACTGTGCATTGGATTTTGGTTGGGAGGGAAGGGTGTTCGGTTTTACTGCAGATAAAAGTGAAGTACAGCACTGTCCAGTTCCTGGAATTCTGCTGATTTGGTGTATGGTTGACTTTGGCACGTAGCTGTTTTAGTACCTGGAGCAAAATCTCTCTACTGCTGGATGATGGATTTTTTTCTTTTTTTTCAGTCAGCCCTTGAGTTACACAGATAAAAATACTGCAGCTTGGTGTCAGAGAGAGGTGGCTCCCGAAGCGGTTGTGCAGTTGTACAAAACTGCAGCTTCCCTTTGTGAACTGCAGTTACCACTACAGATTGGTTGGGCCAAACTGCCTGTTCCTAAAATTGCTTGAATTTCAGCATACCGCTCTTAGCATGGGGCTATGTTCTGGGAGAGGTTGGAAAAAGGGAGCAGAATGCTCATGTGCTTGCTCATTGTTGGAACTGAAGCAGGAAGAGCAGCAGCACTATGCAAGAAATTCCTGCAGACTCTCAAGTCTCCCAAGGCTAAAAATCAGCCCTTATTAGAAGACTGCTGTTTTTATTTAATGATGTGAGTGAGTATCTTGCAGAAAAATTGACCACTGAAACCATTGCATAATGAGAACTATCTTTTCTTGTTATCAAAGAAAATAACTGCCATTGCACCCTGTTGATTGCTGCTGTGCCCTCCTTCATCAATGCAGTTCTTCAGTGAGTGTTGGTTGAGCCCCATATCAATATTGCCTCACCAGTTACTGCTACCTTTCTGAACAAGTTATTCTTCCTTTTCAATTAGAAAAGGAACATCCCTGTTGGAGAGTACAAAAATGAAAAAAGGATATGGCTGTAGTCTGAGAAACGTCATGCTCTCCAGGGTGGTGGTGGTACACAGCATTACAAGACATGTAGTTGAATTTGTGTGTGAATGCTCTCTTTTCTGAGAGGGTACAGTTTCAGCCCTGCTTGCTGATTCTTGTTTTGTCTGTTGTCCTGCTGTGCTTTGGTCTTTAGCTGTTCTTAATAAGCGATTCCTTTTGCTCAGCCTCTGAAGAAAGGATTATCTTGTGTGGTTCATGCCTGGGGCATTTTCTCCAGTGAAACTTGTAAAGTTGGCATTAAGAGTTTCTTGATGAAACAACCCACCAGTGGAACCATACACTGTACTTAGTGTGTCATTCATTTTTGGGCTTTTTAACAAGGCAAGAAGGTCATTTGGAAATGCCTCACTTTCCAGGAGTCCACTGAGTCACACCTGCAGGCAACCATGAGTAGAGGTTTGACCCACTTTTGCCTGTCATTTTAAATCGATTGGCGGGGTTAATATCAGATATCAGAAAGGAACAGCAGGTGTGTCCCATTCAGGCAGTAACTTGCCTGGTTGGGCACAGAGATGACTGCTGTGTGGTTTAAAAATTGAATTAATCATGAGTTAACCCAGTCATCTCCTGTTCTCACCGTTCCTACCTTGCTGAGGAACTGACTCATGGGTTTGTGTCTGCTACCTGACAGCTGAAGGCTGGGTTGGGATCAGACAATCAGAGATCAAAGAAATAGCTTCAGCCCCATCATCTGGGAGTGGGGCGGATGTCCTGTCTTGAGGTGGTGCTTCTCTACAGTCCCATGGGCTCAGCTGTTTCTAATTCTGCTTGGATCTCATGAAACCAAAGCCATGGGCAGTGCACTCCCAGCTCTCCTGCCTGTGAGGGATTTGCTTTGTTGGTTTGTTTACTCTTTTTTGTCTGGAAAAAAGTGCTTTGCAAAGTTGGATGGACTCACGCTAGCTGCAGATGCTGCTTGCCCATGGGAAGAATGGCTTGTGGCTATAAATGGGGTGGTGAGATAAGATTTTAATACTGAGGGGTTTCCATAATTACATTCTTCTGTTTCTACCTCTTCTCTCAAAACTAAATAAAGTATTCTGAGACATTACTGCTCCCCTCCAAGATTAAAGAGAAGCTGTGAATGTGAAACAGCATTGGTCTTTAAATTATGTGTCAATACCACTGATAGGATAGGAAAACTTAAGACAACTTCTTAAAAACAAACAAAAAAACCACAAAACTTGAATTTTTATATACTTCCACTCACTGATAGCTACAGTGCGAGAATGCTGAAGTTAGTCCTAAAAGCATATATAGATGTCTAGATAATGCCCCAGTTTTTTGCCATTTTAAAGGAAAACGGTGATCAGTGAGGGCCAAGAAAACTGAGTGGGTGTTGCAACTTGAGCTAATGGCTTTTGCAGTGTCCATGTTTGGTGAAGGTAGTTATAGGAACCTGAATATATTTCCACTTGGTCCTTTTTTTTTTTGTGGTAATACTTAAGAACCTTTGTGATAAATGGTAGGAACTACTGTACTTTCATCTATGGATGCCTGCTTTACCCTTGACTAATTATAAGTTGATACAGTTTTATGTAATTTCAAATATGTGGAAGTAAGCATGGTTATGAGACTTTAGTGAGAATTAAAAATAGTGGCAAGATGGGAAAAAATTACTGAGTACACTACCCAGTGATTTTCCACGATGGAGCTTTCTGTGCAACTTGCTCGTGAGAGACTAAATAAAATGATCAGAGCAATTGCTGTTTGAAAGTAAAACTTACATAGCTATAGCTTTTATATCTGCATATATAGCTTCATGAGAATACACAACAAAGGCAAGAGAGAAGTTTTTATGATCAACTTCCTTATCATAGATATTTTAATTTGGTACAACTCTGTCAGGTTTTTATTTGACTTTCCCTATTTTTTTTGTGCAAAATGGAAAAAAATAAAAGGAAGAGAAGGAAATTAAGGTGCAACAAGTAGCTTGCCTGGAAGGCATATTTAAAGCAATGCCTTCTGAAACTTTACATCTTAAAGGGGTATGTTTATGGAGGCAGTTGTGCACATATCTTGATTGAAAAACCAATTTAGCTGTTTTGTAACTGAATGTTAGTGCAATATTTGAAGAGGGCAGAATAAAAGCTTCCTTTCTTCATGTGTAGGACTATATCACACGCTGCTTTTTATATATTCATTCCTCTGTTACTGAAGGAATTGGTATTATAGCTGTCTTAATTAAAAGTCCACTTTGTTTGGAAATTGCTTAAATACAAATAGATAAAACTGTGGTTGCCTGCTATACACAGCATTTCCATTGCTGGGAAGCGTGTTCAGGTGATGTCTTTAAAACTGATTAGCTTTGGACACAAGTTTTGTTGGTTAGCATGAAAGTTATAATTTCATTTCACAATTTTTAAAATACAATTTGTGGATGTTTTGTTCACTTTTTCCTATTACATATGGCTAAAAAATTTGGGGATATGGCTAAAAAATTCTCCTTTTATAACGTACGATTTTACCTTCCATTTTAATGTTTGTTTTCTTTCTTCATATATATATATATATTTTTAAGAAACATTAAATGCATTTTATAGTTGAGAATTATTTCGTTGTGATATTTATCCCTTCCTCCCAGAGACCTTGCTCTTTTGCACCCCAGTATTTTATTTTTCTGTTAAAGCTCTTTAGTGGTTCCCATGAGGACAGATGGAAACCAGATGCTTGCTTTTTGAATATCAACTTTAGTAACTTAGCATGGGCTTCCATAAATAAACCTGTAAGTTACTGAACAGCTAAGAGCCACCACCTATTTTAAATATTGTTTTTGGGGACTATTTCTCCAGACGCATGCCTTAATTATTCTTTGGAATTGAGAAAGATAAAGATCATGTATTTCTACTGTTACATGACACCGTGATTCCCATGAAACTTCTGGAAAAAGTGGCAATGAGCAATGCAAGGATTAAGAAGAAACAGTAGAGAAAATCCTGGAAGGCACTGGTTCTTTTTTTTACTTTCATAATGTGGAATTTATTTACCTCTCTAATTCATAAAACAGATCTTTATAGTGAGAAAAAGGTGCTACTTTTGAAGGAGTTTTTTTCATCTCTCCCTGAGAACAGGAACAGAAGGCTATGAAGCCAATTCACTTGGGAAGCACTCTTGAGGATATTTGTTCTTTGCTTTTCTATCACCTTACAGCAATGCTTCAGAAATCTTTTGGGTGCCGTGTGTCTACAACAGAGCGGTTTCTCTAATGCTGCTTCCATTTCTGCAGTGGTTGAGTTCATGGATTTTAAAAATGAATGTGGTGCATTGCAACGCAGCCAATGAATTTCAGAGATGCCTATGGGATTTTGGGTTTTGTTTTTTCTGAACTTTTAGAACCA